CCCTGCGGTGCGATAAGATATCGCGTTCGCGAATCCATTCATTCCATACAAAAATGCTTCAGCAAACCTTTCTTCAACTTGCCTCAACCTGTTTACTTACTCTTGCAAACTCATTCCCACCAAGTGGTCGATATCTAGGCTGATCTAACTTTACTACATCAGTCACGTGGATACTCCATTCTTTTCCATTTCATTACACCTCATTGAATTCCATTTATTAACTATGGCTGATTTTTTTTCAAAAATTTAAAAATTTTAAAATTTTAAATTCAAAAATTTAATTCTGATTTTTCTGGCCCCATTCTAAAATGGACTTCTGACGTCATCTTCCGCGAGCGATAGCTCAAGTAAGCTTGAATCATTTTCATTTCACCGCTTTGCCTCGCGGTTGAGATGGGATGAAAAATTCTTGATATCGTAAGCGGGAGCCGTTTTCGACCATTTTCTAACGCGAACGAATAAAATGGACTAAGTAAGTCCATTTTCCTCCATTATGGACTTTCGTGGATATGAGTCCTGGTGATTTTTACTATACAAAAGTAGGCTAAATTTTCAAGGAAAAAAGTTCATAACTTTCTTCAAAAGATCGTTTCGCAGATTTCGAGCACAGATTCAGAATCTGCATTCGAAGGCGCATTTTTGGTATACAAATCATTAGGAATGGCCGCGGCATCCAAATATCCTTTCCTTGTTGACCGATTGATTTCGTTGCTCTTGGAATTGACTCTGAGAGAAAAGTGTTTTTTGTAGTACACATAATTGTTATGGGTGTGTCTCTACTTTCAAACGATAGGTGTTCTGCTACTTACTTAATGATTTTTTATGGAACTTGTTGAGAAGAACTGGAAGAGCAAACTCTTTTTGAGAGGGTAGAAAAGTGGGGTTTTTTGTATAGATGTCTGTGTGAGGAGAAGAAATTTGCAGAAAGAGCGTGGTAAACGAGAGAAAAATAATATTCTCCATGCAGGAATTTCGAGAAATGCTGAATGATTTGTGGAGATTATTGCTTCTTCGAGCAGTTCTCCTTTTGTAGAATGCTTTTCGCAAAGGTGCTCTCAGGAAAAAAATACAAAACTTATTCGAAAATATTTATACTCACAACTAAGCCCTTATATTGGCTAGTACAGGGTGTCCGTAAAGTATGTATACACTGTTTAATCGTTAATATCTTTCTTCCCAACAAGTCTTTTGCTTTGCTTCAGGTACCATTTTGTAGAGCTGGCTTCAACTTAGATTTGCATTATAGAACGAATCACCCATCTCTCTTCATTACTGTAGGACTACGGTAAAAACTTCAAAAGAGGTTTTGAGCCATGAAAGGCCATATTTTGAGTCAGAAAGGAAACAAAACAGCCTGAAAGCTTTTACACTAAGCTAATTAGAGTTGCTGATTATAACTGTAAAGTTCCCAACTTATTATTATGCTTCATTGAAGAGTTATGCCAGGTAAGAGGTAGCGGCCATTTTTTCAATGTTCCTGAAAGTGAGGTTACACCGTTTGAGAAGCTTCGCAATCTTGTGAATAGTCGAGTATTAAACTCAGCGTCCATAAAAATCCCATTGTACAAGTTTCTACATTTTTTTGAAAAATTTTGAAGCGGCAGGTTTTTCCACATTGACACCATAAGTTTGTTTCTACCGTAATCCTACAGTAATGAAGAGGGACGGGTGATTCGTTCTATAGTGCAAATCTAAGTTGAAGCCAGCTCTACAAGATGGTACCTGAAGCAAGGCAAAAGACTTCTTGGGAAAAGAGATATTAACGATCAAACAGTGTATACATACTTTACGGACACCCTGTATACTGGGTTGGTGCAAAAGTTCTTTTCCACCAAGTTCAAAATTCATAACTTGTTGAATTCTCAACGAATCTGCAAGATCTTTTGCATAAGAGAAGAACTCATGCTCTTTGCAAATGTGCTTGAACTGTTCTTTAATGTGTACAAGTGAAGGTGATAGAAGCTCAAAACCAAAATCACTCAAAATTTGAATTTTTCGTGTAGGGTAATAAAAAATCGGAAACTTACAACAAAAATTGGAGCAGTCGGTATTGTAGGTTCTTTCACCAGCTTTTTCTAACGGTGCAAAGTTTGCGCTGATTGAGCGTCTCTATGAAAATTATGAATTTCGAGCAAGCAATACAAAAGGGGGAACTTGATTATTTTGGCATTTTTAAAGGAAATCACAACTTTTCGCAGAGACGCTCAATTGGCGCAAACTTTGCACTAGGAAGAGCTGGTGAAAGAACCTACAATAGTGACTGCTCCGATTTTTGTTGCAAGTTTCCGATTTCTTATGAACCTACGCAGAAAATTCAAATTTTGACCAATTTTCTTCTACTGCTCCTATCTATGCAACAGATGACCATTAGTAAGCAACTAAGATGTAATTATAAAGGGCATAAGATACTCTTTTATAGAAAAATAAAAGCAGTCAAATCGGTCGAAAAAATCAGAAGTTTTGAATTTTTGAACATCGCGCGCAAGAACTTTCGGAACGACCTAATACATTAGGCTGCGTTCACACTGATTTCGAAATCCGGGAACAGTTTCAGCACAGCGCTCATTTCAAGCGCTCTGCATTTAGAATTTTTTCTCAAAAATTCCCAATTTCGGATGTTTTCGTTCTTTCGTTTTAATCTCTGCAATCTGAACATGCTGGAAATTCGCCAGGAGACTACTGGAAACTACATGCTTTACGCTTTCTAATAAAATTTAAATTGCGCAAAATCGTCGCGACGGAAAGAAGTTATGATTTTTTGAAAATGGTACGAACGAACTTTCGGTTCAACCTAATATATAGTGCCTTTCACAATCAGTCGAGAGCATTTTCGTTTTTCGTGATTTCTTCGGATTTTCGGGCCTGCGTTTTTTACGAAAATTAAAATTGATCCCGATTGGTCCGATTTTCGCTCAGCTAAAGAGA